TTGTCAAGGCATTGGTGGTATAATGGTGAGCATAGCTGTTTCCCAAACAGTTGATCTGGGTTCAATTCCCGGCAAATGCAAGAGCTCACAATGGTCATATTTTTACAGGAACTGTTTGAACTCATGGGAAGCTCTTACTGGTCAATTAGAATTTGTGGACTGACTTTTCATCATGCATGTAAACATGTTAGATGGTGGTGTGATGCATTCCACATGTCTGCCTGCATTGCCATGTATTCCACATGTATGCCTGCATTGCCATGCATTCCACATGTATGCTTGCATTGCCATGCGGAACTTTTTGAACTCATGGGAAGGTCTTACCGGTCAATTAGAATTTGTGGACTGACTTTTCATCATGCATGTAAACATAATAGATGGTGGTGTGATGCAGTCCACATGTACAGTCTGCTTGCATTGCCATGCCTTTCCTTGTCAAGGCATTGGTGGTATAATGGTGAACATAGCTGCTTCCCAAACAGTTGATCCGGGTTCGATTCCCGGCCAATGCAAAAGATAACAATGGTCGTGTATTTACAGGAACTGTTTGAACTCATAGGAAACTCTTACTGGTCAATTAGAATTTGTAGAATGACTTCATCATGCATGTAAATATATTAGACGGTGGTGTGATGCATTTCACCTTTATGCTGGCTTTGCCATGCACTCCACATGTATGCCTGCATTGCCATGTATTCCACATGTATGTTGGCATTGCCATGCATTCCACATGTATGCCTGCATTGCCATGCATTCCACATGTATGTTGGCATTGCCATGCATTCCACATGTACAGTATGCTTGCATTGCCATGCTTTTCCGTGTCAAGGCATTGGCTGTATAATGGTGAGCATAGCTGTTTCCCAAGCAGTTGATCCGGGTTCGATTCCCGGCCAATGCAAAAGATAACAATGGTCGTGTATTTACAGGTACTTTTTGAACTCATGGGAAGCTCTTATGGGTCAATTGGAATTTGTGGAATGACTTCATCATGCATGTAAACATAATAGATGGTGGTGTGATGCATTCCACATGTACAGTATGCTTGCATTGCCACGTTTTTTTTGTCAAGGCATTGGCTGTATAATGGTGAGCATTGCTGTTTCCCAAGGTGATGATCCAGGTTTGATTCTTGGCAATGCAAGAGCTCACAATGGTCATAATTTTTCAGGAACTGTTTGAACTCATAGGAAGCTTTTACAGGTCAATTAGAATTTGTTGAGTGACTTTTCATCATGCATGTAAATATATTAGACGGTGGTGTGATGCATTTCACCTTTATGCTGGCTTTGCCATGCATTCCACATGTATGCCTGCATTGCCATGCATTCCACATGTATGTTGGCATTGCCATGCATTCCACATGTACAGTATGCTTGCATTGCCATGTGTTTTTTGTCATGGCATTGGTGTTATAATGGTGAGCATAGCTGCTTCCCAAGCAGTTGATCTGGGTTCGTTTCCTGGCCAATGCAAAAGATAACAATGGTCGTGTATTTACAGGAGCTCTTTGAACTCATGGGAAGCTCTTCCTAGTCAAATAAAAATTGGGGACTGACCTTTCTTGATGCGTGTGAACATGATAGATGGTGGTGTGATGCACTCCACATGTATGCTGGCATTGCCATGCTTTTTTTTTTTGTCAAGGCATTGGTGTTATAATGGTGAGCATAGCTGCTTCCCAAGCAGTTGATCCGGGTTTGATTCCCGGCCAATGCAAAAGACAACAATGGTCGTGTATTTACAGGAGCTCTTTGAACTCATGGGAAGCTCTTACTGGTCAAATAAAAATTGGGGACTGACCTTTCTTGATGCGTGTGAACATGATAGATGGTGGTGTAATGCACTCCACATGTATGCTGGCATTGCCATGCTTTTTTTTTTTGTCAAGGCATTGGTGTTATAATGGTGAGCATAGCTGCTTCCCAAGCAGTTGATTCAGGGTCGATTCCCAGCCA